TAGTATTTATTCAGAGAGAGAAATAGAGAGATGTGTACCTTTTGAGATTCTCTCGGTTTTCTCTCTTATGCTGATCAATGAGTAGATGTGTCCGCTCTCTCACTCTCCTAGCATCTAGAATAAAATCAGGTGATGACAGGGTTGCAGCGATTTCTGCCCATTTGCTCTTGTTTTTCATGGGATTACTGGCGACAATTTCCCTCAGAAGCCGGATGTCATCCTCACTTTTAAACCGAATTTGTTTTTTCCTCTCGATATTCATTTCCCCCTAATTTTCAAAGAAGATTGAAAGAAATACAGGTATTAAAATAAACATAGAAATTGTATTAGTGATTGAGGATTTGGGTTCTACAGAGGGGGGTGGGGGCATATTCTGTAAATAAATATTCTGGACCTTCACCCCCATTTTCCGGAAATAAAGTTTGGAATTTAGGCCGTCAACTCAACTGGTGCTAACCCAGGGTTTAATAGACCTTTTTTGTACAGGGTTCTGTACCCTTTTAGTTGGGAATTTTTAATCGAAAAAGTGGCAAACCTTGGAAATACTGATGTCTGATATCAAGTTAAAATGTTGATTAAAGAGTATCTTTTAAGTTTTATGCCTTAATCAATATTCAAATCTTTATTTCTATTTTCTTATCATCAAAGTCTCATAATTCAAGTTTTATTTAATATAAAAAGCACTAATTAATGCAATCTGCATGGTATTTGGGAAATTTTGAATTGGGAAAGGGTCCTTTTTACAGGACCTGAATGCAGGGGTTATTAAGCCCTGTAACCCCCCCCCCCCCCCTTAAAAGAATATTGGAGGGCGAAACCCCTTTTTTCGCTTTTTCAATTTCACATGGATTAAAATAAATAATATACTTCTGAGCATTTGGGAAAACATGAAAAGAAATAAAAATAGATAATGTGTCTCAATCCCCCCCCCCCCGCGCCCCTTAAATATGCGTGAATCGACATAATTCAGTAAGACGGGTACCAACAATAAAAAATACAATAATAATTAGTTCTTTAAGTAATGAATGTATTAACATATATCATATTGATTCTTCAACTGACACGTTGGAATTTTTCTCATATCATTCGAAATGACGTCATTTCAACATGTCACTTTACAATCCAATTGCTTGCTTCCGATATCAAAATTGTATTAGAGTTATCACCCCTAGATCTACTTCCGGGTAGGTAAATATTCGGGACGAACCGCTGCAACTTTTGATGTGCAAAGTATATCACTATATGTGTATCGACATGACAAGCACTGAGAGACGGTGAGTAATGAGACAATATTTAAGCCAAACAGTTTCTTATCTTTTATAGCAGAAAAATTAGCTTTGTATACATGCACAATAATCAAATACAGCGCACAAGATTGTACAGCATGTTGTACATGTAGGCCTAGTACGCACCAGCGCACTATTAACTTTCGATTTTGTGTGCGTGTGCTGTAGTACGCACGATTTACTCTCGAATTAATTAATTCTGTTTTACATGTATAAATTATGTTTTTAAGCTTAAATTTTGGAGTAAAATAATCTTATATCGTCTTTACTTATGTGCATAACAGTGCCATGTTAGTGTACTATGCGTCTAGTGTCTGTGTATATAAATGTAAAGTTAAACTAATGCATGATAGATAATACATGTAGCTACAATGTGAGTGTATAAGTTTGTATGAAATCGTTAAAGATATACAAATAAGCCTAATATTTATGGGTACTCTAGTTTCTTTCATTTGGGGGGGGGGGGGGGGGTTAAATGTGACTATGCTATGTAAATGTTAGCAAAGATATTAGTTGTAATATTTTTTTTAAAATTGTAGAGATCCCCTAACCATGTCAGATACAGAACACGAGTCTGTAGAAGTGCTAAGAACCTGGAAGGTGGACCAGTTGAAAAAATGGCTGATTACAAGAGGTCTTAAACGAAGTGGAAAGAAAGAAGTTCTTGTGAAAAGAGTGTATAGAGCGATGCAGTCTGGGAATGATTCTTCCAGTGATTCAGCGTCTGAGTCTGATCTTGACGACACACCCTGTGTAACACCCATGAATGAAATAACTGAACCATGGAGAAACATTTCTGTAGATTGTCTTCCTCCTTTAAATGAAAAAGATATTGACAACTATTTTATTTACCAAAAAAATCCTACATCTGGGAAAAAAGCACGTTTCCAACGGCATATGAAGAAAGCTAAAAAATTTGCTGCAGAGGGTTATATTTACATTTTTTATAATGCAGTTTCTGAGAAGTCTGACTACTGCTACATAAAATCAGACTGTAAACCATCCATGAAAACCAAGGTTAGTGTGGGTATTTGTGGAAAAATGACTGACCATTATTCCCTACATGTCTGTCTAGTTAAAGAAACTGGGAAAATAGAATCAGCTTATTGCAATTGCAAAGCTGGAGAGTGTGGTTTGTGTGCTCATGTAGGTGCCTTGATGTACACTGTCTCAAAAGTCAAGAATGCTTGTACTTCCCAAGAATGTCAATGGAACAGACCTCGGCCATTGAAAAAGAGGCAAGATCCTATGAGAGTGATTGATATCCAGTTATCTGAAAATGAACGTTGTACAGGAAAACCCTACCCTGATGTGTACCAAGCAGGTCCCTGTAAAGACCCTGATCAATTCTTGCAAGATTTGATGTCTGAAATTGGTGAAGTAAATCCAAGATGTGTTCTATACCAGACTCTTGGGTGTAAACCAGCAGATATAAGCAGTTTTCTTTCAGCATATGAAGTACATACTGAGGAAATACCAGATGATGTTGACCTTAACACTGCTGTGTACCAACAGAAGTTTCAGGAGTTTTTAGAAAATCTAAAATTATCATCAGAAACATGTGAGAATCTGGAAATAGGAACACGGGGCCAGTCTATAAATAACAATTGGATGGAAGCACGCAAATATTTAATAACCGCCTCACAAATTGGTGATGTATGTAAAAGAAAAACTGCATGTCCAGATGCACTTGTCCGTAGACTTATGGGATATACCCAACCCCCTCACCAGGTAAAAAGCCTAACATACGGAAGGAGCAATGAAAAGAAGGGTATTAAAGCTTATGTAAAAGAACACTCTTTAAAATGTGGAAAGGAAAATGTGCAATATTGTAGTAGGGGTCTTCATGTCAATCCTAAATATCCATTCCTCGGTGCCAGTGCCGATGGTTTGATTTTGTGTAAAATTTGTGGAAATGGGTTAGTAGAGGTTAAATGTCCCTATGGCCATAAGGATAATAAATGGAGAAATATGACTCCTGCTGAATGTGCCCAAGACAGTTCATTTTGTTGTCATCTTTCTGATCATAATACTCTAGTGTTAAAGTTAAATCACAATTATATGTATCAGGTACAAGGGCAGTTAGGTTTGTATGAATTAAAATGGGTTGATTTTGTAGTGTGGACACGGAAGGGCTTTAATGTCCAAAGGATTAAGTTTGATGTAAATATGTGGGCTGAAATGCTTGTAAAACTAAGGAAATTTTATGTTACTTGTGTGATTCCTGAACTTTTCACTCGACGTATCAAAAAGGGCAAACCGCTTTACTGTTGCTAGGTATGCAGAAATTGAGAAAAGTATATAAATACTTATTTCAGTTTAATTATTTCCTTAATAGTCATGCAGTATAACCCTCTATATCATTTCTTTAAGTAATGACTTCAACAGAACAGGTCTAACTTAACAAGCGTTCTGAAAGTATTGCATTAGCAATACTAGTCCCCTACCGGTAAGTGTTATCTGGTTACCGTATGATATTGAAAATGTCATAATTCAGTAAAAAAAATATTGAAGCAAAACGGAATGCAAACGATCTATAACTCATCAAAATACACTCCACATCAAAAATAGCTCAATATCTTCAAGTATTTAGGAAAAAAGTGCCGAAAACCAAGTGGGTCAGACAGACGGACAAATGCAGATGAAACCTATAGTCACCAGTAGGGGACTAATAATGCATGTGTGCAAAAAACAAAACAAAAAAAATCCAATAAAAATACATTTATCAGATCCATGTGTATTATTTTGATATCAAAGCAATCTGTGTTGATTCAAGTTTGGTTATAACTCCTTGGGCTAGGATGGGGCCACAATATAGGATCAATATGTTTTATTAGAATAAAGAGGTTAAAACCTGTGACTCAGGTGAGCAAAGTGGCTTATACTCTTAGGCCTTGTATTAGCAGTTCAGGCAATAATTGAACTTCATGTGAACTTTCGCATAACACTTGCATTTATTATGTCTTAGTCACTTGATATATTAGTACACTACTCTATATTATACAAGCGTTATTGATATTCAAATACTTGTACACATTGTACATACTATACTTTAAAATAATGGCATTTTTAGATACTCGCTTAACCCATGCAATTTGAAAATTGAATTAAAAGAGAATATTATAAATCTCAGATTTATTTGTTATAATTTCAATCCTTAACAATTTAACAAAATGAAACTGAATATTGTTTTATGTAAGCAGAGGTGGAAGCAGGTTAGTCAATGCTGTGCAGATAAAAATCATCTGTTCTGCCAAGTGTGCTTCTGATAATGGTAGAGTTCCACTCAAAATGCGATAGTTCTTGATTTGTTCCATTTTCATCTCGACTACAATACGGGCCGATGCAATGCCTTGGGTCTGAAAAAACTCTTGAGTGGTCATTTGTCTATGACCTGGTATACGTGGTGGTATATTTAAGCCAACATCTACAGGGAGAAGGTCTTCAACAGTGAAACCCTTATCTGCCATGATTACATCACCAGCAGATAATTTTGGCAAAAGAGAATCGTGCATTGTTATATGACGGTCAGATGTGTTGCCCCCCCTCCCCCCCCCCCCCCCCCCCACAGTCTGGAAACAAACGTAACTAGTCCATTTGGTGCTACCCCTATCAAAATTTTAAATGTATTCGAATGTTTGTATTCAGACCAGGTGGCCCACTGAGCACTAAGTGATGATGGTTTTTCAGTGTAGAACTCGGTACAATCAAGAATTATCCGTACGTCAGGATAGTTTGAAATGCTTGTGGTAGATTACATAAAATTTGTTCTCTTGTAGGCCAACAGACAAGTGACCTGCAATGATCATAAATGAAATTTATCCATGTGTTCATAATACGGGACACTGAAGACATTGAGACTCTGAATAAGTCTGCTAGATGCTCTTGCAGCATTCCTTGTCTTAATCGCATACACACCATCAGAAACTCATCTACAGGTCTAAGTTTTCTCTGTCTACCAGGTTTAGCACTATTATTAACATGGTAATTTTTTTCACCAAGAGATCTTGTGTTTCCTTCCCAATAACTAAGACGGTCAGCACCATGTTTCATGAGAGTTGAGAAGAATAACCAAAACATGGAAGATGATAAGAACCCTGTATAAAATCTTATTTTGTTATCATCATGTCTAATATCTTCATATGACATGAAAAGAAGCTTAGACTCCACACTACATTCTTTTACGTCAGTAACTTGTGGTTCTCCAGCTTGAGTGGAGACATGTTGCAGGCAAACATTTTTATTGTCCTGTGGATTTATATTCTCATTGCTGTCAATAGTTAAAGTCACAATATGCGATTCATCTTCCTGTGTAAGGTTAGAACCCAGGGAAACTGAATCCTCACCATCTGTAACATTCTTTTCATAGTCATAAGAACAGTTCAAATCATGTTTTACAAGGGGACGTCTAGTATTTTGTGGCTTTTGTTCCTTAGAAGGGAAAATTGTGGGAACTGAATGTTCAGTGTAAGGTTCTTCAAAATGTCTAGAACAAATTCTCGTGTTGTCATTAACTTTAAAATTTGCACGAATATTTTTAACTCTTGAAATCCACATAGCTCTTATCTTCTTTCTTTTCTCACCAATTGGGAAACGTCTCATAAATATTTTGTTTCCATTTTCATCTAGACTGTCTGACGTACTGTGGCATAATGGCACACAGCAATACTTTTTCCCCATCTAGTAAAAAATATAAATATCGCATGAACTCAAAAGGATTATTACTCAAAACAAATTGATGTAAAGTTAAAAACAGTTATAAAGTGTTTGTCAAACTGTAAGAAAATAAGCAACAACAATATGCACAGTGTAAACCGTGTCACGGAAATCGTGATGGACGGGTATAGACTACATGTACATGCATGACATTTCATGATTTTTTTTACTTATTTCCTACAAATATGCAAACAGAAATAAAATCATAACTATCCATTTTAATATAAAATCAAATTTCCCAAGAAATATACTTGTGATTATAGCATTTTTCATGTGTTAAGCTCGAGTGATTTGTTTGTATTTCTTAAGATTGCGAATTTCCTCGATGTTTTACTCGATAAATATACGTGATTGAAAATGTTATCAATGCCAACCAAAACATAGATATCAATATTTTCATTGTAAAATTCGTCTTTAATAATTTTAGACAAAAAACTTCATTTAATACTTACATTCTTGATGAAAATTTACCAACGGCGACTGTAAGTGTAGATTAGAGTTCTACGAGTCGGGTACTACCCGGAAGTGACCTTCGATTTACGCGCCACCTATCGGTTCAGTTCGAGACAACTCTAATAACTTTGCATATCGGAAGCAAGCAATTTTGTCAAATATTTCTATTACTTTGATCAAAAAAGGTGCACAGATGTACGTAATAAATTCTCAACATCACAACAAACACCACATGAAAAAAAAAAATTCCATTATTAGAGTTTAAATAGCTACAAGTTCTTACCTCCGTATACTTGTGAATTCACGCGTTGTGTACAACTTGTAGAATTACGCGGTATGCAAAGCTGATGACGTAAATCGCAGTAAATTAGGGGATTTCCCTAGCTACACGTACACGTAGACGTACACGGTCATTTGCTTAACCTCTCTGATATCATCCTTCATCAACAAGTTAACAAAATATTATTTAATTTTAACTGATAATTCATGTGTTAGTGAAATTCATATGACGGTACCCCCCAAAAGTGAAAATAAAAATTCTCATTATCTCCCTTGCGCATCTGTCATATCCTTAGTTGGTCGAGAGTAGCTGTGTCATTCCGACGCCTTCAAACCCTACAGTCCATTTTATCCCACAGATTTTCGATTGGAGAAAGAGATAGATTTTACGAAGGCCAGTTGATTTAGTAAATGTGAATGTTTGCGAGAAAGTCTTGACAAATTCTGGCTACATTTTCCAAGGGGTGAAATGCTGAAAAATAAGGTACATGACGAACACATGCGCGAGTGAGAGTAACACCGACGTAAACATGACGAACTCAAGGACCAAAAAAGCAATCTGTTTCTTTCAGTTTTTGGATGAATGTAATGATTATGATTGCCAACTGTATTATTATCGGTTTCAGTGGCAGTGCCGTGATGATTATAAAGGTGGCAGGATGAAAAACCCCATCTTGATGTTGCGTTGTTACGCGTCAACGTCACGGTTGGTTGGAAACCATTCCAGTTCCTCTCTGGCAACAGATAAAATTTACTATGGTGAAAAAATTAACGACAAACTGTACAGCAGTTGTTGCCTTCTTCTTCGATTAGGCAATTCAATTACTCGACGCATTGGAACTTTTGTCAGCCGTACCATGATTGCAAGAGATTCATATTGACTGTAAATATGGAAAAAACGATGTGTATACCTTCTGTGCATCAAGTAGTACAACAGATTGTGTTAACAAACTTGCAATCATCAATATGCACGTGTTTTTTGGCTTTTCACTACTTTCCCTACGTGACGTCATACATTTCACGGTTGAGTAATTTTGAACAACAATTTTATTGCACAGTAACAAAGATACACATCTGACTAGTTTTCTTAATTTTTGGCCAAGCAGTCAAAAATATTGCACATATTATATTACTCTACATTTCTTTCTCCATTCAGTATATTATTACACCATACAGCATTGGTTCCATAGAAATTGGTCGGATCAGAAAACATTCCAGATTAGACAAGTTTTACTGTACCTGCAGTGAACAACAATTGGGGCCGTGTCGTCTTATTCATTGAACTTTATCAAAATACAGCTATAGGGTATTCTTTACATGCTTATACGCTTATATACTGATATGCAGAAGACCATATTCAATTCATTCTTCATTGATAGACAATTTATGGAAAGCATCAGATTATGCGTTCTTTTTCTTTAAACCTCGGTTAAGTATCATTATTGTGATGTAAACATGTATATTATAAGCTTATAGTATAAAATATCATTTTCCAATCGGATTGAATTTCCTAATGGTCCATGAGTCAATCAGGACGGAATATTTTTTCCTAAAATATGTTCCCTACATTTTCCATTTAAACATATTCAATGATTTGTTATTTGCTTTTATATATATATATATATATATATATATATATATATATATATATATATATATATATATATATATATATATATATCATATTGGAAATTTTGATAACATTGAGATGTTGAACTTGCTGTGCTTGTAAATATTAAAAACACGGGGGTAAACGGGACTTGTATAAGACTATTTCTGAAGAAACCATGAAATATGAAGAAAACAAACAGTAATCGAGGTCAAAAGTCCATTTGAACAATACAGATCGGGAGCTAAGCAAGCACTGATCTCTAAATATAGCATAGGTGGGATCAGGTGCCATGGAGGCGGAGTAAGTTTCCCATGTCGACCGGTCACACCCGCCGTGTGTTCCTTGTCATAATGGGTTGAACAGAAAAATCTGCAGACAATTTAGTGTTAAAATAATGATCTAACAATCTGTATGAAAAAGACAATCAACATTCGACTTAATATAACGATAGATTGTATTTGTTAACAAGATCATTGAGTCGACCATAGAATTTGCAAAATGTTGACTTTAAACGAGACTGTCGATATTTTTGTATCATCAACTTATTTGTCAATTGTTACCTCGTTTTAGAAATTATTCGTAAAAAGAACATGTTCCTGTGTTCGAATCAGTTGGGAGACCTAAACTCCATATGCACGTAACGTTTAATATTCGAGAAAGATTGCGTTTTTGAGAAAGGGAAAAACATGATAATTGCATTTTTTTAAGGAGAGCCAGAATTTTTTTTTCTCCAAATGTCATCTAAATCTTATTGAGTCAATGGCTACCAGCTATGTAGCTAAAAAATTATTGAGTTACATATTGTTATATGTATATATAATATACATATAATTTACCTTCAATCTGGTTCAACATTGCACATCCACGATCAAAGGACTGGAAACCAAACTTATACAAGAGAGACATTATATACCCCAAAGAAGAATTTTACTCACTGACCTTTTTTGAACTTACTATTTTGATTAAGATTGCAGAAAACCATTGAAGTATTAGCAAGATATGGGCCAGAGGAACAAAAATATTCTACAACAAGGATTTTAAATAGATACCCTGTTTGACCTTGACCTTTTATCAAGACTAGTGTAGTCAACGAGTACCCGGTTAACCGGTTAATCGTCGGACAATGCGAGTATCGGTTAGTAAAACTGTTACTCGGCTACTCGGATATATTGAATTTTATAGAGTAAATCAGTAGGAATAATGTATTTTTGTCTATGATGTCTCAATTTTATTTACAGTTATTTAACGTAAGTCTCGACCTAGCGTTTTACGAATACGATTGATTTATTTTAATTAGTATTTCACAGTTTATCTAACTGATGGCTTTGATTCCCAAGGGGTATTCAAGTTTCGATGGCTAGATATGATTATAATTACATCAAATAAACCACATTTAATTATAATTACCTCACATAAACCGTAAACCTCTGCTAGTCCTCAGTACAAGATTAAAGAAGATGCCGTCACATGCATCGAAACATTTTTAAAAGAATAGCTGAATTTAAATCTATGAAGTGTGAATTATGTGAAATGGAATTAACATAAACGGGTGGGACAACTAATATTCTGAACCACCTCAGACTGAAGTTTAATTGTGAATCCAGCAATATATAAAGTGCAAAACAGCCAACGATTACGGAGTGTTCTATATATATAGATTGTTTTTTGAAAACCGAAAGTAGGAAAACATGACGAAAATTGCAAAGCATGGCTGCTAATTTTACCTGATTAAAGTCAAAATAGTGTGTTCATTATACCATAAACTGGCAAAGAGTGAAAGAGATACTGGCTTGGAAACAAAACAATACTTTTGTCAATTACGCTGAATTATTTTCAATTATGTGAATTTACTTGCATACACCCAGTGTCCAAGTTGTTAAATTAAGCCATGTTTTAAACTTGATTTTAATTACTTCTTTTCAAACTAAATTGTTGATATGATTAAAATTTTCATCTATTATATTATTTTTTCATTTTTAAAAAAATGTCATATATCTTTAGTAAGTCTGTAACCCCCCCCCCCCCGGCTAAAAAAATATTATGAACAAGAGGACATCTACTGTCAAGAGTTGGCTAATATCAGTATCAAATTAATTGTATAAATGTAGAAATAATTCCTATATTAGTTTTGTAAGTGGATACAACTTTAAATTTTACAATTTCAAAACAATGCCTGTGATATAAACAAATTGAAATTGTGCTATTAGTGGAGTGTTTCAGGGTTAGCATATACACTTGTCAAGACAAGATGAAAGAATGCGATTCCTTTCATCGCGAAAAGTGGCGAAAAATATTTTCGCTCCAGTGGGAGCTCTGATATATCGCGAACAAAAATGTTTTATATCTAAAGAAAAACCATCCGAGTAACCGGTTACTCGATCGGAAAGCTAAGCGAGTAACCGGTTACTAAAAATCGTCCGATTTGACAACACTAATCAAGACACTTGGATAAAATTCACTGCATATCATTACCCATGGGCACTGTGTGAGTGAAGTATAACCAATTAAGATTTGGGAGAGAAAATTTACCCAAGTCAAGAAATATCCAATGAATAGAATGAACAAGGAACGGACAGACAAACTGATCCCTATCAGCCAACCCAACGAAACCTGAAAGTAATTTATGGCGAAGGGTGGCTAGTCGTTGTTCAGTCTTTTTGTGTGTTAGTTTCAAAAAAAAAAAATAAACCTTAAGTGTGCTCACACAGGTATCTTACATTAATTTTGTAAGCATCAACATTTTTGTAGCTTTAGTTTGCAAACCATTTCCCAAAACAACAATGTTGCTTCCAGATTAAACAGCCCTGCAATTGTTTTCACCTTGTTTGAATTCATTTATTGTATTTGAAGTTTAAATATCAAAAGTCAAAACAAAATCATTTTCATTAAATGATTAAATAATCATAGATAAATCTCATGTATCTTGAACATACAATATAAAACATTCCCATTTTTTAAGAACTTAGATAAATTACTCTTAATAGAAATTGAAAGTACTTCCTTGAATGAGTTTCAGATAATTTTAAGCCAGAGTACAATGTCCGACGTATATTCAGAGCTTTTACAGCTTTCTCATTGATATGTACATAAACATTGGTTAAGATTTTTAAAGAAATCGATGATAGTTCATTATGAGAATGAGTAAACTGTTTGAAAATGATACTGAAAACACTATGAAACTCTGCCAGTGTACCTGAACCATGGATATATAGTCTCTTATTTCAGTACCAATTCTTATAGTTAATAGGCTCACGTGCTCTACAATTTGATTATTGCATTCTGTACAGATACGAAAGAAAACGAAACAATTGCATGTCAAAACGTCGATATCCATATCTATATTTAATGTTTCGTTAGAGTTTTACTGATACTTTTATATTTTGTACATTCATATTAAGATATTTTTATATTCCTTATTTCTTGTAAAAGAAAATTCCGAATTTCTTTAATGGCATATATTTTTTTCCTAATCAGTACTAGGGATAGTTTGAATACATGCTAGCAAACGATTTAAGAGTAGATAATTTAGTACAATATCATTATGCTTTTAGATTTGAAAATTAAGACCAAATTTAATTATTAGTCGTACATGGTATTTTCACATTGAATGCAATATCACATCCCCATTCTAAATGAGTGCTGCTAGAGGTATTTAAAAGGACATTGTTACGAACACTTTCATAATATCTGGATAAACATTAGTGTAATTACTGTCACAAGTGTATCTGTCTGAATACACTATACAGAAAATATTGATAAAGCAATCAGTTCGTCGGTAGTCTATATTTTTTTCGACATTATTTGTAATATATACAATTTATTAAGATTTAAAAATGAGTAAATTGGTACGTACAGTGTAATAGTGTCAAGTCTTCAAGAAAAAAAACGATCAATAGAAAATCAATACAATCAGTCAAATTGATATTACATAATTATTTAAATTGGCACGATTACAAAACAACAGACACATAAAATTTTGTTTTGATAAACATAAAACAAGCTAACTTTTGAGGTTAAGACAGATTTTTGGTTGGAGATTGTCACGGTAAGACCATGTTTTATAATTGCCAAATAATTGTTCATCAGGCGTTTCTGTTGATGATCATTTCATACTACGGCACTGGACCAAAAAAGGACATGATGTTAGCAGTGCACTGCCTTGAGTTTGAGGGATTCTAGATTTAAAACATATCCATACAGCAGATAATCAAACGTTGCCAACACAATGGGCTGTATTAGCTTCACCAAAAATTTTCCTATATAGCACTTAAACACAAGTGAAAATTCTTTTTCTAATAAGAATTCTTCTCTTTGAAATAGTACTTGTTAATTTTACAAGTACAAATATTTCTAAACAGAATTTACTACTTACGCAGCAATACACCTTTACCACCTGCATACGGGGTTTATATCTCTCAATTGATTCGATACGTAAGAGATGCTCTACGTATGAATAATTTCTAAAACGAGGTAGGTTATTGAAAAACAAGTTGATGAACAAGAATATCAGCAGTCTCGTGTAAAGTCATCATTTCGTAAATTCCATGGTCGATACAATGACGTTGTCAGCAAATACAATCTATCATTAAGTCAAATGCTGACTGATGTTTTTCATACTAATTGTTAGGCCATTATTTACACACTGAATTGTCGACATATTTTTCCCTTATTTCCCGATCATGACAAGGAGCACATGGCGGGTGTGACCAGGTCGGCAGGGGATGCTCACTCCTCCATGTCGCCTGATCCCCCTCTGATGTTTCAGAGGTCCGTGTTTGCTCTGCTCCTGTTCTGTATTGTTTGATGAACTTTTGAGCTTGAATACTGTTCGTTATTTCCATATATCCAATTCTTTGAAAAGCAATATTTGAATAAATGCTGACAGTTTGTTTACTTGAAGTAAAACCTTCTTATAACAATGTATTATTCAGTTTACGGTAACTCAAATCATATTCATTTAGCCCCGAATTGTTATATAGAACAATGGTTCAAAACATTATTCAAAATTGAGAATGAACAGAAAAAAACTATTTTTTGAAAATCCACGATCAAACAACTTCATGTTAATGATCACACATAATTAAAAAAAATCATTTTAAAAATTCTACATACATGTATTTTTGTCTTGCTTATGTTCAAAGATATCTTTGCATCTAATATGAACTGCTATAGCACGTGTAAAGGGATCAATTTTGGCATTCCTAATGTTATTGAATTTGCCAAGTAGAATAAGATGGAACTCATTTCTCAACAAGTGTAATTTGAAGCTTAAAATAACCTTCAGTTGGTTTCAAAACCATATACTAGTATATGAATCTAAATATTAGGGATGTCAACGAATATTCGAACATTCGAATATTCATTCGATAAGTTGATATTCGAATATGAATTTAAGATTCGAATATTCGGTGTTTTTCGGGTTTCATAAAAAAAGTACTGTGATTAATAAATTTTGATTGGAACAGTGCTGAAATTATCCCTGTTTAATCTACTAGCGATCAATTTCCATCGCCCGATTTCTTTCGCTATTTTCTTATCTTATATAGATCTACTATATTATTTTGTTTTGAGTAAGGTGTTTAAGATTTATACAATAATGTCTTATGTATAATACAAAACGTACTTTCATAGTTTTTATTAGTTAAATACGATCGAATCTAGAATCGAGGACAACGAAATGAAAACCTTTTAGAATGTCTACAAGACGTGAACAGTATACCTATCAAAACAAATCTAATTGATCATTCAAATAAATATCCGATAGAATTAGGCTGTAATTAATATTGTAAAGGGCTCAATTTTAGAATAAATGAGTAAATTACTTGATTATCTCAGGTTGTACATAATCCTGAATTTTATATTCATTATCGTGAAATTAGTCAATTACCTAGGAAAATTGTCTATGGAATTGTTTGTTTATATTTTAAAAACATTGTATCGAAGATTATAATCATATCTCTTATTAGGCTGATAAGTGTAATTAATTACACGTATTGAAATCTGAACAGTATACGACTATCTTGCCTTAGGTAAGACGACTGGTTCCTCATTTGGAGCTACTATAAATATACATGTATCATTTGTTAAAATTATACTTTTCTACATTTAAATCACTTATTTATTTCAAACATTGACAAGTACCAAATGGAATCCCTTATTGAACACCTACAAAAGTTTTCATACAATTTTATTTTAAAATATAAGAATACCTACACTAAACCTTTCATGAGAGTAGGATGATGCATTCAAAATATACCAGATTTTATTTATTTTATCGAATATTCGAATATATTCGAATACTTTCATTGAATATTCGAATATGAATTATTCACAAAATTGACATCCTTAAATCTAATACATGTTTCGTATTGTCAGGTCACGCTAGAAATGTCATGCTCTGCTGTTATAAAACTGGGATTGAAAATTAGAAAAAAAATTATTTTCTTCATGTTAAGAGAATGCATATGTATGTAATACATTATAAATACATTTATAGTTTTACAACACTTAGTAAGGAATTTCGGAGGTACAGGAATTTCATACAATATGTTCAATTTGGGATTTGCATCTTAAGTGAATGCTCTCTCTCTCTCTCTCTCTCTCTCTCTCTCTGAAATCCATCTAGTATCTAGTAATCAAAAGTAAAATACAAACGAAAACACAGATAGTCTATGTGATGAAGTTGAATTATGTTGCTTATCAGTTTTGTTGTTTTATGTGTAAATAGTTGTAATTATATCCCTATTTTGGTTCCGTAGTTGAGAGTGTTCGTAAATAGGTTATTTTTAGTATGACCGGTTTGGTCAGGGAGAGTCGTGGCTGTTTGTCAAGTGTGCGGCCACGTTTTGGTTTTGTCCTGTAGTCGATATTCCATGGCGAATTCCAGAAGTTAGTCTGGTAAACGGGTAGCCAAGGAGTCGGTAATTTTACTACATGGGCATTTATTTCTCCAGCCGGTAAGCTATAATTTTCTTTTGTGTATATATTTGTGGGTTTTGTTCTAACTTTACGGGCGTATTGTTTGTTATCACTATTTGTAGTTTAAGTGAGTAGGGTATAGGTTTTAGATAAGCTAATTATTGTTTCAGTGCGGAGGGGTTATGATTATAAACCCGGGACTGAAGTAGGTTTTAGGACCTCATGAGGGAGTTTGGGTCGTGTGTCGAGACGGGGGCCAAAACAAGTTGGTGACACAGGGCGTGGTGTACGTGGACAGTGCGTATAGAGCATTGGTGATGGTTCACCGCAGTATAATGACGAGTAAATTCTCAAGTTGTCCAGTGGGAGACCTGTGAGTCCAGGGCTGGAATCAAAGGGGCGGAGTGTTCGTTGTATGGAGGCCCAGTGGTGTGAAGTTTAATGTAACAGTTTTTATACGGTATTGAAAAGCAAAAAGCCAAACTTCCAATTCAGTTTAAAGAAATAAAACATTGATAAGAATTAAATTTTGACATTTAACGGAATTTACATTTACTGTTATTGTTTAATTAAAAGTGAATTTTTTCTGCGGACACTTAATACAGTGTTGAACTTTATTATTTGATTGTTTCCAGTTAAAGTTAGAGTTTATGTTTTGAAACCAATATCTGTTTTATTGACAATTGATTGTGTTTAAAGTTAAATCTTTATTTCATTGTCAATATTATTTGGTTTGCAAATTAAAGTTATAATTTGTTTCTTTCTGAGAGAGGGTGCGCGAGAGTGTGTTTGTTTTGAAATTTTCTATATTTTTTTTTTATTTAATAAATTTAATTTGTTTTGTTTATTCTACGGCTTATCGTTTTCTCTACTGCCTGCACAAAATCCAAAAGAACTTCATGACAGTCTATATATTTGAAAAGGATTATTCTGTTTTAGCTTCCAATGCCATGAATGTCATTATGATTTGAAATTGTCAGTGACCGCTCTTTTCTTTTCTTTTTTCCCATTTTTTAAAAATCTTTACGGTTGTTCTTTTACTTATATCTTTGATATAACTGGGATTTCCTCAATGCTTCTATTTCAGGATATGACGTCCACATACAAATGTGTGAGATTTTCAGATAAGGCTTCGTGCAGAAAACGGTACTCTTCCTGAAAAGTATCATCTAATACATATTAAAGAGTTTTATTTCATTAAAAATTCAATGAAGAACTTAAAACTTAAAAAATTCCTTATTATTTTCACTGAAACCTCAATACAAGTATATAGTTTGCACCATGGCTATAAAAACTCTAAGAAGATCGTTTCAACAGATTTTTTAGTAATTTTTTTTTAAATGTCCTTAAAACCATACAGCTTTCAGAGAAGAGGATGAAAGGAAGTAAGAGTATTTTAGGAAACAAAAGATTGGAAATATAATATACCAATTGTGAAATCGTGACACCAGGTCACAAAACTTAACAAAAATAAAAAAAGAAATTCTTTTTACCTATCGATCAATAAATCTAGTTATTTTTTATATCATATATTTGTAAGATTTCGTGATTCAGGTTTTTTTTCTGCGTTGCCTATTCTGATCAGAGCTAAACATTTAACAAAATAAGACGACAACATATTATATAAGAAACACGTCTATGGAAGGGAATTACCACCAAGAGTCTATTTATCTTGCTTTTATTCTTATTCTGCCTACTTCTTTATTCTTCGTTATTATTGTAACTTTATTGTTTTCATATTCGTCTTTATTACATTTCACTTTGAACTTTTTTCATTCTTCATTTTGTCCTTTCTTCTATGTTGCTTTATTCCTTTATTCTTGTATATACGTTTTTTTCTTTTAAATTGATACAGTTTCTGTAATAAATAATTATGTTCATCTCTATTACAAATGTAAATTCAGTCACGCAAACCATGAAGCGCATTCAGCGAAGACGAACACAGGTAGTGTGAATTTAATGCGGCATTTTAACGCTAGGTGGCAGGGTGTTCGCTGCGAGTGTTGGTAAAATTAGGTACGCAAACCGGGCCGAGGTTATTCCGAGATTTTTCAATTTTCTGCCTTAATACTTTATCAATCGAACCCAAATTTTCAAGTTATGTTAGTTATAGGTTTATTTGTATACGCGGTAAAATTGCACTGAAATGCTCAATATTTTAGATTTTCTCGAAGATATTTGATTTCCAAATTGGTAAAATGGGAAGGCAGTATCAAGCTGACATTTTTTTTTTGGGGGGGGGGGGGTTGGGTTTTTTTTTTTTGGTTTTTTTTTTGGGTTTTTTTTTTTGGGGGGGGGGGGGGGTTGGACAAAAAGCTTACAAATTTATGAATTATTCTGGTGTTAAACATTATATTTTAACTATTTATAAGCATTTCTTCTTTCAAATGTGCTTTTGTTGCTTTAAATAACTCGTTTTAAGAAAATCTTGTATTTTCTGTCACATGAAAAATATAACCCTATTCAAGTTATTTGTTGGATGATTGAATTTCAGTTTTATTGATATAAAAAATATTTTATATTTTGATAATAACTAGTATACCCTTATAAATTGAGTTGTTTTTCAGGACCCCTATATATTCTTCCACTGAACTGACATTTCTTTATTTCAGGATAATAACTGTTCATGCGCAGCCGCGTGATTCTGGGTAACGGAGCTAGTCTGGTTTTGGCCAACCGATAATGCTCTGCAAAGTAGTGCGAAACGTCAAGGGTAGGCGTGGCCGGAACCAGACTAGACCGGGGCATACTAGAAACTTCCCCCGATTTTTATGAAAATACGTATTAATTTTTTGTATAGAAATAGCATTTTCAATAAAGAAATAAATATTTCTGGTAAGCACACAGTGTTTGACATCAGAATAACTCAAAAAATTATTTTGCCAATGTCTCGTTTGGCAAACAATACGTAAAATATCGGCTTGATATTGTCTATCCATCTTAGCAAATTGGAAATCAAAAATCGCCAAAAATAATCTAAAATATTGAGATTTTCAAAATATAAATACATGAATATAAATAATGCCAATTTTTACAGCGAATACAGATAAAACTTAGAGACGTAGCATTGTTTTTGAAAGGGGCAGCCAGAGAAAAAAATAACTTACCTAAAAATCTTGACAAGCAAAAAAAAAACAAACAAACAAAAACAAACAAACAAACATAAAACAAAAAAGAGGAAAATTCTTTCAGTTCTTTCAGAACCAAATTTTACTCATACATCACAACGTACATGGCCCTTATTTAACTAAACTGCAACAAAAAGTGAGGGGGGGGGGGGGCAACCAGACTTTCATTGAACATTTTCAGTAGTAAAAAGTTAAGGCTAGAAAAATGTTTGATGCCCCCCCCCACCCCCGCTACCGAAGTCATATAGTGAGACTTCCCCCATAGTGAGTTCCCCCCCCCCGAAAGTCTAGCGATATAGTGAGACTTCCCCTCGGGGGGGGGGGGGGGGGGCAATGACTGTATAGTGAGCCTTCCGCCCTAAACGACCATAGTAAGAATTCCCCTTCCGTGTTTGGTTTGGGTTTTATTTACATCGACGATAGTATATATTGCATTTTAAGGTAATGATCTTATATATAAAAAAAAATATATATAGTTTCAAATCAATCAATATAAAAGTGCGCATTAAAAATTTATCGTGCACAGCAGATTATGGTATTGTATTAAGAGACGATTCTTATCAAAAGAAAAAAGACATAATTAGTTTAACAGTAAAGAGGTCATTACCCGTAGAAACGTGCAATTTACCTATGTTTACCTGCATGGTTAAGATGTTTTAATTATAAAAATTACAATTAAAATGTTTGAATTATTTATTCGTATATTTATTTATTCAATCATGTAGGAAAGAGAATTAACTTTTATCCAAACACTGAAAACGTTAGTATAAAAAACATCGTTTTACAATAAAAAAAAATATTCGGAAACAAAATTAAAGGGGGAAGTTTTGCTATGAAGGGGGGAAGACTGACTATATAGTGAGACTTTCCCCCGGAAGACTGGCTATATAGTGAGACTTCTCCTGGAGAAGTCTCACTATATAGCTAGTCTTCCCGGGGAAGTCTTACCATCTAGCCAGCCTTCAGGAGGAACGACACCAGGTACATACCTGAACCTATAACATACATCATTTGAAAATTTGGGTTCGATTGATAAAGTATGAAGGCAAAAAATTGAAAAATCTTGAATAACCCTGGCCCGGGTTTGCGTACCTAATTTTACCACCCTGCCACCTAGCATTATATTAAATTCACACTACTTGTTTTCGTCTCGTTGAATGCGCTTCATGGTTTGCGTGACTGAATTTACATTTGTAATAGAGATGATCATAATTATTCATTAAAGAAACTGTATCAATTTAAAAGAATAAAGAACGTGTATACAAGAATAAAGCAACGTAGAAGAAAGGACAAAATGAAGAATGAAAAAGGTTCAAAGTGAAATGTAATAAAGACGAATATGAAAACAATAAAGTGACATATAGTTACAATAATAACAAAGAATATAGAAGTAGGCAGAATAAGAATAAAAGCAAGATAAATAGACTTTTGGTGGTAATTCCCTTCCATACACGTCAATGAAATGTGGAAAAAATGAACTAGTTACTATGCTCAAAGACCAGTTAATTAGTTTAAATCGAACAAAGTAAATACAGACCTATGAAATCATAAGAGGTGAGATCAAATGCCTAATTTAATCATCCTGTGTCGATCGAATGATTAAAATTTTCCAAAGTTTATGTAATATGCTATCATAATTAGTGTAAGCCGAAATAATGAGAGTTAAATGCAACAGAAATAGAAAAGAGTAAAGTGATGTATTATATTTGTTTTATAATATAATTCTACACGTCAAAATTGGAGAGTAAGCAAACTGTAGATAGGAAACTACCCGATATTTTCAACATGCTACACGATATCTACTAATATTTGTCAACAATCTTTAAGTAGTTCCTGGATGTCCGTGTTTGCTCTGCTCCCGATTTGTATTGTTTAGATGGACTTTGAGCTTGAATACTGTTCGTTATCTCCGTATTTCATCAAAGGTTTTCCAAAACTATACTTGACCATATTATTGTATACAAACGAGATATATCAATTCGAACTTGGCCGACTATTTATGACTGAATACTAAGCGTACCGAGGTTTGCACCATAAACGGTCTTTGCTGACGTAGTTTTCCGATGCAGTTTGTGACGTCAACAGTTCCTTTCTTATTGGCTTCGTCCATTAGGTAATCAAAGGCTACGTATGTCCCCGTTCTCCCAATACCCGCGCTTAAATTAAAGAAAATATATCAAAATCCTAATTACAGCAGTGTTTTATAATAAAGTGTTCCTTAATTAATGAAAATTTCAGAAACAAATTTATAATTAATATATTATTTATTGAAATTGATTTTTTTTTCAATCATAATCCACACTTCACCAAACCTGCAGTGAATGACAATTGGTCCCGATTCCTCCTCCTCTTTAAATTTGGCCAAATTATGGAACTGTATTATTGCATTTACATTACTTGGAACTTTGTTCTTAAACCAGCCCGTAAATTGGTAATGCTTTAGAGTTCGCGATTCGCCATCCTGCACACAGTTCAAACAAGAATATATGTGTTTGGTTTTTTTTCATTAATCACTATCATTGAAAATAAAAATAAAAACATACGAATTGTTGCTTTCTTCTAAGTATTTCATATTGTTTGATAGAAAAGAATGAAACCTTTGTATATCAAAACTATATTTTAAAAAAATCACAGTTTCTACTTATTCATCGAGAATCTTAACAAAATTTAAAAGAAAATGTACCCTCTCTAAAAGAAAAGTTCTAATTGTTATGCACTCCATTATACGACAGCTCTGTGGGATAATCTTTACGCGCCCTATCCTTTCTTCCGTTTGAGGCCAGTACTGCACGCACTGCATCTGTAATACATGATATTAACCAAAGAAAAATAAAATACGGAGATAACGAACAGTTTTCAAGCTCAAAGTTTACTAAAAAACAATATAAATACGGAGCAGAGCAAACACGGACCTCCAATACGTCAGAGGTGGGATCAGGTACCATGGGGGAGTGAGCATCCCCTATGTGCTCCTTGTCATGATCGGGAAATAACGGGATAACTCGTCGACAATTCAGTATTTAAAAATGGCCTAACAATTAGTATCAAAAACGTCAGTCAGCATATGACTTAATGCTAGATTGTATTTGCTGACAAGGGTATTGTATCGAACATAGAACTTACGAAATGATGACATTAAAAGAGACTGCTGATATTCTTGTTTCATCAACTTGTTTGTCAATAACTTACCTCGTTTTAGAAATTGTTCGTACGTAGAGCATGCTCTTGCGTATCGAATCAACTTAGAGATATACACCACATATGCAGGTGATAAAGGTATATTGATGCATAAGTAAGGGAAATTGACAATTGAAAAGTTAGTCATCAAGTTTATCATAAAGCTTTGTTGTTAGATTACCATATACTAGTACGCCTTTTTCTAGTAAAATATCCAAATATGAAACAGATGTGTCAGACTTTGTGGTATCTTTTATTTCAAGCTCACTGGGATATATAGTGTCGACATATGAATAGAAGTAATTATTGCTAATTGATAATACGTGGCCGATTTATCTATATGTCGAGTTGAGGTCCACAGCAAGAGATTTCTTTTTCTCATGTACAAGATTTTGAATAAATTCTGCTTCATATGAATACAAATATAGGTCTGTTAACAAGGGGGCGTTATTGGTACCCATGGGAATTCCAACAGATTGTTGGAATACATGGTCTCCGAAAACCACATCGATATTGTCAATTAGAAACTCAAGCATCTTTTTAATATCAACTTCAGAGTACTTGTGTTTACAATCAGAATGTTTAACCAAAACCATTAAATTGTAGCTTTAAGATTTTGACACTCATAGCAATTTGACCAATAAAAACTAGTTTCCATACGCGCATATTTTCAAAAAATATGTTGTACAGAATGACGTTCTCTATACGTTTAAGTTCTAGATATTCATAAAATTCTTAATAACAAATACTAAATAATCAGCTTACTTCCTCGCCTTCCATTAATTTAGTCAACATCAATACTCTAGTAACGTTAAATTGCCAGATCATTTCCCAAAACAAAACAGTAGTTTCGTGATTAAATGGACCTGAAATGGAATATAATTTCAATGTCAATTAAATATTGATAATGAGAATTTTTTAAATATATTTATTCATTACTTTATTTTGCATTTACTGGAGAGAAATCAACTTCTCTAATCGTTATTTCTAGATCTGTTGTGATTTGCAAAAGAAATATCCCTTATCTTTAGCTACAGAACTGTAGCTCTCTGGATGAGAAAATTCAGACAAACAAACCAGAGAGCTACATGTACACATCCAAGCATTGTAAAAACCTTCGATTCATGGCACCGCGGTTATGTCGCTCGCTTCGGGTACTGTTTCCTGAATTATATCCCCTCACCAAAAGCATGGTATCTGTTCATTAACCATATATTTTACTCATAATCTCGTTACTTTATTTATCTTTCAATGGTACCAAACAGCCCTATATGGCCTTGGAATGTCAGTTTAAAAATTCGCATTCCGGCGTAAGCATTGGAGTCGTAATAAAATTATGCCTATCAAAGAACATACACATACTGAGAAAATCTATTTTGGGGGGAGGGTGGCGGGGGGGGGGGGGGGTAGGTGTTGGTCACATAATATCATCTATATTGTCTATATAATAAAAGAAGGTAATATGTATAAACTTGGGAATGTTATTTTTACTAAGAACCAACAGGGACGTCGGAATGCGAATAGGGTGATTTTGAATCTTTAGAAGAAAATAAAGTACTCTCTGTTGCGGGATTATGAGTAAAATATATGGTTAATTAACAGATAACATGCTTTTACCTGGGGAACTCATATAATACAAGAATGAAATATGGTGATAACAAACAGAATTCAAGCTCAAAGACCATTAAAACAATACAAACCGATAGGAGAGCAAAACGGACCACCAAAAAATCAGAGGTGGGATCAGGTGCCATGGAGGAGTGAGCACCCCCTGTCGACCGGTCACACCCGCCGTGTGCTCCTGATCGGGAAAAAATGGAAAAATCCGTAAAAATTATACCCAAAGCGAGCGACAAAAAGCGGCGCCGATAATCGAAGTTTTTTTATAATGCTTGATCTGTAGCTTTCTGGTGTGTCTGTCCAAATTTTCTCAACAAGAGAGCTACTGTTCTGCAGCTACCTTAGCTTCTAGTTATTCTTAATTTGACATTTTACCTTGAGCAGCAATGTATTTTCTATCTTTCTCGAATCCCTTTAAAAAGAAATTAAATCCAAAATAACAGAAGCTAAATATATTTCTGATAATTACACACAAGACATACACATCTCTCTACATAAAACAAAAATAATCTTTAAAAATCAAGGCGTACAGAATTTTAAAAAAAATAATTCATTAAATATTTATGTATGACTTGACCAAGGCACACTGCCTATAGTACATGTATTTCTGTTAAAAAAAAATAATAACCTCTAGGCTGCTCCATACGTTTCTTATTTGTACTTCACTTTAAGCTATATTAAATTTAAATAAATGAAAGTCTTTACGTTTATGAACGATGCATTGATGTAATCTGAGTTGCCAGTTACGTCACACAAGTCCAGAACGACTCTGCTACAGTCATCTAAAACATACAAGAAATCAAAACGCTTTTTTTAGTATTTCCCCTTTTTGTGAATAAAAGCTTTAAAGCTGATTTTCTATCAGCTAATCATACTTGGATATATTTTCTTGTAACGATTTTTCCTTCTATTCTCAGGAAGAAGTGCGTTGAGATGATCATCTGTCGTTTCACAAGGAATTTCCTACAATCAAATGCAAAAAAGGAGAGAAAATTTTAATCATTTAGGAACAAAAACAAAACTGTTTAGGATATAGAAACAAAGTTTATATAATGTAATATGTGTGTTAAATTATAGATGTCTGTCAAACTTTATTAAATGAGTGTAGGTATAATTTCAACTGTAGAATGATAATTTGCCTTCTAGCATTATGCTTTTCAAAATAACATCAACATGCTACATGCATTAACAAAATAAGTAAGAAAATGGCTCTTAATTTACCTTAAATTCCTTGAAAAAATCAATCATCTTACGTCTGACTTTTTCTACAAATTTCTCAATAGAGACACCCAGATCTAATGTGTTCACATACTCATGTTGACATATTTCCTCATATTCGTTTTGATTGTCCTGCCGAATTTCCTCCAACTCTATTACACGATATGTCTCACAAGTGTCATACTTCTTGGCCATACATGTCCGCAGTATTGCTTTTCTCTCAACGAGGGCAATTATTATAATTATATTTAAGGCTAAGAAGATTACCACAGCTATGGAAATATTCTTTTGATTGAAGACATCTATATTGTTATTAAAACTCCTGGACGTAATGCATTTGCCTGTTTCAGCTTCACAATCGCTATCACAATGGTCAGTGCAAGACTGATTGCAGTAATATCCATACTTCCCTGCTTCACAAGGTGTACATTTCTGCCCATATGCTCCGGGATAACAACTTGTACATAGTCCCGTGTCTCTATCACAAAGCCCGTCCAGACATTTATACGGACAATCCTTCTCACATTGGGCTCCAAACCTGAATGGAGAGCATGATAAGCATTCCCCATTCGCTGCGTCACATGTGGAGCAAGATTCATTGCATTTCGTACATGAAAAACCGTAGAAACCTTTGCAGCAACCTGAAAATTTAAAATACAACGCATAATCTGTATCACAACAAGGCATATTATAATTTAAAATAGTTAGCAACTATTCCTTCTCTTAGCGCTTGTCACATTGAAATAAAAGTAGTGGGTCTTTGGGATGAGACTTTCAAACCGAGTCCCCGTGTCACGGCAGGCACTGACACGCATAAGAACGCATAAGAATCCTTACTGTTCAATGACCCCGACTGCCGAGTACAAGTCTATATTTGAAGCCCTTAATGGGCCTCTGATTACGACTCATATGAGTAAATTGGAAAACCTTGTAAGGGACTTAAAACTAATCAGTCAATCAATAAGACATATTCTAGTATGTATGAAAAAGTACGACTTTTCAACACTTTATACAACCATTTCCCAAGATAAATTGAAGTCCAGGCATTTTTACATCATATAGACAGCTGCTTCTTTCAATAAAAATGGAACGCGTAAATGTACTTACCTTGTCATTGGTCATTTATAAAATTATTTTGTTAAAAGGCACTCTGATTGTACACACAAGTACTCTGAAGTTGATATTAAAAAGATGCTTGAGTTTCTGATTGCCAATATCAATGTAGTTTTTGGAGATCAATTCTCCTAGGAGAATATTAATTGTCTTCTAGTTCTCTAGGGTTTTTTTTTTCATTTTGTTTTAACTCTAACACTTGTAGAGCAATGAAATATGGATTGTATGTTGTTTTACGTCCCATTCGAGAATTTTTCACTCATATAGAGACGTCACCATATACCGGTGAAGGGCTTCAAATTTTGACCTTTCCTCGGCACTCAGGGCCATTGAGCAGTGAGGGATCTTATCGTGCCAACGCCTGCAGTGACACGGGGCCTCGGTTGTTAAGGTCTCATTCGAAGGACCTGCAAATTTCACTTCAAAGTGCCGAGCGCATGGCGAAGGAACAGTTGCTACCCATTTTTTATCGACTTATGTCAGTCGCGGCCGAGATTCGAACTCACGACCTCCCGATCACGGAGCGAGCGCTCTACCGACTGAGCTACCGTGAACGGTTGAAATATGGATAAATGTATTTGAAATGTACACACTAAAGTGTAAAAACCTACCCTTTAAGTATATTTCATTTAGCTGTAACACTCCAACATCTGTGCGCGTGATCATGAAAGAATCCACCTTAACCTCTCTGTCACAACAAACGTTAATTTTGTAGATGTGTTTCAGAGATTCTGCAGGTATTTCATCGCAAATTTTCTCCTTTGAATGTGGATAGCTTAAATTTACACTTATCGTATATACACCTGAAACATTTAAAAAAAAATAATGCAATTTGACGATTTTTTTCCCTATAATCCTACAGACATACTTCTAGACACTTTAACGATTTAGCCAAAACAGCATAGAAGCCGATATTTGCGAACCTCCAGTGACAAACATTGTAAAACATGATATCGTGGTGGGTTTATCAAATGTAATCTTCCAGTAATTGTTGCTTCCATTTTTCGTTTGAATGAATGTAAATGGGTCTCCATCAACAGCTTTGGCGGCGTAGTCTACCCTCCTCATTGGCGATATCTTCTCAGGAACCGAAGACTGCGAGACCGATGAGTACTCAAAACCTGCCAAACGAAAAATTGTCCATAATCACAAGCATTCTGAGAGTATTATATTGCTTTAGCAATACTAGTCCCCTACCGGCAAGTGTAATCTGGTTCCCCTTAAGAATTGAAAATGTCATAATTCCGTCAAAAATCAATGAAGCGGAACGAAATACAAACTTATTCTATAACTAATCAAGGTAAAGTCACATACCAAAAATCAGCTCAATATCTGAAAGCGTATAGAAGAAAATTGCGGAAAACCCTTAAAAATTGAAAAGGCCATAATTCCGTCAAATATCAATGAAGCGAAACGAAATGCAAACTTGATCTGTAACTCATCAAGATACACTCACATACCAAAAATCAGCTCAATATCTGCAAGCGTTTAGGAAAAAAGTGCGGAAAGCCAAGTGGGACAGACTGACAGACGGACAGACAGACAGAGAGACAGACGGACGGACAGACTCAGAGGAAACCTATAGTCCCCTCCGGTTTCAGCGATAGGGGACTAACAATGGAAGCAAGTTCTGTACAGAAATCAAAGGTAAGAAACCAATGAAAAATAGATTTAAAAAATTCTACAAAAGCTGGTTCAATAAACCTTCAGTCATAAGTTTATTAAATATTAATAAATAACATTACAGGTAATCATGAATAGGTAAAAATGTACATCAACATTGTGGGAGATTTACATGGAAATATGGAGACAACAAACAATATTCAAGCTCAAAGTCCATCTAAACAATACAAATTGGGAGCAGAGCAAACACGGACCTCCAAAACCATCAGAGGTGGGATCAGGTGCCACATTTAGGAATTATTTTGCTTCAGCCATGTTTTGACGTGCGCATCCCTTGCCGACCGGTCACACCCGCCATTTTACTCAAACATAAGTATAATATTGTAATTAATTTTGTTTTCACTTCTATCACTTAGTCGCAACGCTCCAGATAAGGTGTGTATTTGCAGAAATATGCATTGAATTTTTCAAAATACGCATTAAAAATTAAAACAGGGCGTACAATTATGCATTAGAAATAATAAATAAGCATTACACTACGAAAGTACTGCGTACCACGAATTGAATGATACAAGTACGATATAACTAATATAAATTGATGTTATCTCAGTGTTTGGATTTTTATCAAAAGGAAATTTTGATGTATTCGAAATAACCTAGTCCGATTTCCAGATCGGGAGAATGATTTGAATATAAAATGTCAGAAAATATCACAGATTTCCACCGTTCATATAATATCCAAATTTCGTTCTTGACGCGTACACGTCGATATTGTCAAAATTGCGCAAAACACGCATGGGGTCTTTATCACTGTTTATTAAACAGTTCTTATATACAATATATTTAACATTTCTGTCACAATAATATCATTTAAAGTCCGCCAACAACCTTTATGTTTGAAAATAATTGCTTTTTTCCACATGCTCCTTTGCCATAAATAGCGCCACGCGACTTTTAATGCAAACGGGGAATTACTCTAAAACTTTTACCTCGATCAATGCCAACATTTTATATATAACAGAACCTAATATATATTTTAGATAACAAAAAAAAAAACAAGAAAAAAGAACAAAAACAACAGGGCGGGACATTTTTAGAGGGACAGGTTGGGATGAAAATCTATAGATTAATTTTATCTGGCCAAAGGAAGGATATTTTTCTCGGTAACCCTATGATCGTAAAGACCTAATCTTAAATGGAGTTCTGAGTGCCCTTGGTAACTTTGCCTACCGAAAGGTCTTTCTGGTGAAAGAAATGAAATGTTTCTTAGTTATAGCTAAAAGCTGACAAAATTTTTAAAATTTCATTAACCTAATTGATAAATACTGAAACTGTCCTTTTTTTAAAAAAAAAAACATTCCTCTTTCAAAAACACTTATTTCGATAACATGCTAAAAATCACCTAGATGTCAAAAGAGCAATAAATTAACAAAGTATTCTTTGATTATCTTGCTGAAAAGCAAAATCTGCATTGATTTGAAAATCAGGGAGTAAATACACTTTAAGGTAAAAAATTATCTGGAGCTCTGAGTCGCTTGCGTGGCGCAGTGATTAGAGCGTCTGCTCTAGAGTCGCGAAGTAAGGAGCTGATCCTTACATTGCGGGTTAGAATTCACTGCTGGACGTGGAGACCGGTCCTTCGGATGAGACCGTATAAACCGAGGTCCCGTGTCGCGATAGGTGTTGGCACGAAAAAGATCCCTCACTTCTCAATGACCCCAAGTGCCAAGTATAGGTATAAATTTGCAGCCCTCCACCGGCGAGTGGTGGCGTCTCCATATGAATGAAAAATTCTCGAGAAGGTCGTTAAGCAATTAAAAAACAACAAAAAAACAACTTCTATCACTTTTTGCAATCATGATACGACAGATTGTATAGTTCCTTATAATTATGTTCTCTGATATGTTATTCTTGTAACCTCTATTTCTGTACACTCTGCAAAGGAAAACTTTTGTCTTAAAATGTAAAAACGAATATAGCAAAAACTCCGCAAATACATTGCATTTCAAACATTGTTTGACTAGCACATATTTAGTGAATTTGAATCATCTATTAAATGAACATGCTTCATAAATAATGATTTGTGCTCTGAAAAATTGAATCAACAACATTTACGTTCAATAAAAAGATATAAAGATAGCAAAAAAAATTACCTTCTATAAAAAATATTGTTAAGATCAAGCACGTGCCTTTCAATAGTTCTGTCATGTTAATGTTTTTTTTTTCAAAACGTTCAATATTGCTGTTTATCTTCCGTGTTACTTAAATTGTAGTAAACTCGCCGGTTCACAGAGGTCATTTGTAATGCATAAATGGTTACTCATTTTACAAATAAGGCTGCTTTAAATATAAATCAAAAAAGAACAAGAAATCAATCGTATGATTATGTTTTGGTACATCAAACTCATTATTTTTCCTTAATTTTGAAGATGAGAAAATATGTGTTTCAATTCAGTTCTACGAGTAGTATATTCTGTATTCAAGAGAGAATATAGCATTAATTTTTAATCGTATGAATGATTTTAATTTCGTTGTTGTGTAAAGAATTACATAAACAGGCATTTATTTATCGTTCGTTTTCTGAGAAAATATCACTTTTCTTACGATGAAATGACTAGATACTTATATTTTTCAATATTATTGAACTAAGTTAATGTCTCTTTTAAAAGATCAGTTTTTGTGAGTTTCAATCAATCTTGCTGTAGTTAGAGCTATTTTTAACTGCACTTAAATGATAAAGTTCATAATATGGTCAAGTCCGGAATTGTCAAATCAATTGTGGCCAGAAGAACCACACAATATCCACTTCAACATTGTCTCTAAAAAGAAACATCTTGAAATGACTATTTTTATATCACAGCTCTTCCTTGCGGAAGAAGGGGATGGTCGACAACAGCATAATTGAAAAAACCTGTAGGAAGTTAGTTTGCCCTCTCCCGACCCGCTGGCTAAAAATGGCCCGACTCAGAATTATTTTTAACCTTCAGGAAGCATATTATTTTTTTATGCATTCTGGAAAATAGATTTTGAAAATTCAGCATTGATTTTGAATTTTTTGTTTTTGAAAAAAATATTTCTCACCTACCTACCGACTCATTGTTTTCATCCTGAGTCGAGAGAGGGCAAGCAAACATTATCTTAAAGTTGGCCTAATGTCATTAGTCATCAAAAAACTTACCTTGTTAAAAATCATTTTGATTCTACCAATGCCGTACATATTAACGGGATAGGAAACTCTCGCATGTTTTTGAATATCTTTCAGGAAAAAAAATCCAGTTATTTATCGATCAAAAAATTATTTAAAATCATCACATGCCCTTGATCGGCTGTATTTCCAAATTTTCGTCGAATTAGGTGATTATTTTATTTTATATTTTAAATATTTTACTTTTTACTTTTATATTTTACTTTTATATTTGTATGCTTTTAAATTTATTAAAAATCCATATTCCAATAAACACAAAAAAAGATTTAATCTGTAAGATCTTTTTACTGGGAATAAACGCAGTTTGAAAAACTTTTATTGTTGCGTGTGGCGTTCTGAGCAAATAAAAATGGTGCTGAAGGAGTTGCCTATCCTGTTAGCATATATGTCCCTGATTCTATACACAAATACTCTAAAGTTGATATTAAAAGATGCTTGAGTTCTTCATTGACAACAATCTATTTAGTGTTTGGAGATCAGGTTCTCCAACAATCTATTGGAATTCCCTGGGGTACTAATTGCCCCCCCCCCCCATTATAAGCAGACCTTTTTTTGTATTCTAATGAAGCAGAATTTATTCTGAACTTCTACATAAAAAGAAGTAGTATCGTACTGTGGCCGATTGAACTCGAAATAAAAGACGCCATAGAGTCTGACTTATCTGCTTCATAAATGAATATTTTACTAGAGAAAGACATTGATGGCAAAATGACAAGTTTATGGTAAACGTAATGATTTCAACTATTCTCAACTTCACTATTTATATAGAAATAAACCATTATCACCTGTATATAGAGTTTATGTCTCCTACTTGATTTGATACATGTTCTAAGTACGAACAATATCTAAAACATGGCAACCTATTAACAAAAAAGGATACAATGATATCAACAATCTCGTTTAAAGTCAACACTTCGTAAATTCTATGATCAATAGAATGACCTTGATTGCAAAACTATCTGTCAGTACGTCGAATGTTTAGTAACTTTCATACATTATTTTCATACTGAATGGACTGCGGATTTTTCTGTTTACCCGATCATAACAAGAACTCGACGAATGTAACCTGTTGACAGGAGATGCTTACTCCTCCATGATACCTGATCCCACCTCTGATGTTTAAAGAGGTCCTTGCACTTAATTCAAATACTAACAGTAACATGTTCCGAATAGTGATAAATGAGACGAGATAACAATAAGAATTTATCATTCAATGAATTAAATGGAGTGAAATATATTGAGATAACGAACAGTATAGTATTCAAGCTCTAAAGCCCATTCAAACAATACAAATCAGGAGCAGAGCAAACACGGACCTCTTAAACATCAGAGGTGGGATCAGGTACCATGGAGGAGTGAGCATCCCCTGCCGACCGGTCACACCCGCCATTTGCTCCTTGTCAAGATTGGGAAATAATGGAAAAAGTCGTCGACAATTCAGTGTGTAAATAATGGCCTAACAATTACAAAAACGTCAGTCAGCATTTTACTTAATGATAAATTGTATTTGCTGACAAGGTCATTAGAGAGCTTTCGCAGAACAAAGTGGACGTGTACATGTACGTGTATAGTACCAGTTAGAAATACAAGTCCGCATTTACTTCACTTTTCTCGTTAAGCAACATAACTTGTACGTGTAATTGTAAATCCTTTAAAAACAAAAGCCTTTATCTTCGGATAATTTCAATTGGGGCGGGGGTTATCCTCTTAAATTTATAATGTTCATCACTAATTTCATTTATTTTATGCAAATATTTATAAAAATAAATTTCAAAAAGAATACTTATACCCTTAATTCGTAAAATAATGTTTTGAAAGTCAAGATTAGTGTATTTAACGCTTAATAAATAATTTTATTGCCCCCGGATCGAAAGATCCCGGGGGTATATTGTTTTTGTCCTGACTGTCTGTTTGTCTGTTCGTCCGTTTGTCTGTCTGTCTGTTGTCAACTATAACCTTGCCCATAACTTTTGATTGGTTGGAGCTATGACTTTCATATTTCACATGTGTATTCCTTGTAACAAGACCTCTCTTTGGGTACAATCATATTTGACCTTTTGACCTTGACCTTGGAGTTTGACCCACTTTTGCAAAATTTTATGAGACTTTTTCCTTGGTCATATCTTCTGAACAGTTGGTGCTTGGGATTTCAA